ACACAGAGTTTCTGCTAAGCCAATCAGTGTCCAACTGGCCTCCTTTTCTGAAGCAAAATAAAGTCCTCTGTTTGTGGAAGACATTTATTGAAATCTAGTTCCCCCTTGTGGTTGCTGTTAATGCTGCAGCAACAAATACAAAGAGCATTCACTGGATTGAATGATGTACATAAAGGTGAAACATTAACTATACCTGCAACTCTTAAATCCATTATAACACAGATTCACACTTAGACTGAAGTTATTTGTGTTTTCTGGTGCCGTGAAAAGTTTCTTTACATCGTTTAGTGCATACAGATCAGGCACAATGTATTTTTTTCATCTACAAGACAAACTCGTTGATTATTTATGTGACTTTAATTAATATAGTAAAAAAGCTTTAGACTACATTTTACAGCCTCATACAGATAAACTTTGACTTTTGCTTGAGAAAACTTGTGTTAATTGATTTTCTCCAGTGGTGGAGAAAGCATTCAGGTTCCTTATTAAACCAGTTATACAATAGTGTTAAAATACTCATTTACAAGTAAAAAAAGTCCAGCATTAAACATACTAATTATGTAAAAGTCTATCAGCAAAATGTAGCATACTTAAAAAAAAAAGTAGACCCTTGTGAGTGTAATTATATTAGATCATTATCATTACTGATGCAATCAGTTGCAGCAATTAATGTTGAGGTTGATTGAGGTGCAGCTATTTTATACTTATATACTTATATTTATACTGTTGGAGAATTTAAGCAATAACAATTTGTCATCTTCTATATGCTGATCATATATTTGTGCGTAAAATCACACTTTGCAAAGTAGCTGTCAAATAAATGTAAAAAGTGCAATATTTAGATATACTTAAGTATATATATTCCATTACTGACTTTCTTAAAATGTCAAAACAAAGAACAAGCCTGTAAGAAAACGTGTATTATATCAGCAATGTTCATATACGTTTTTCAATTTTCATTCACCTGCCATAGACAGACGCGTGTGCGAGGCCACGTGAGTGAAATAATTGCTGCTGTTGCTGTTATTGGTGATTTTTTTCTTCTTCACCCCGCCCACCTGTGTGTCCTATAAAAGACAGCTCTCATTGAGCTCCACACAGCTGGCTCACCGGAAATGGATGCCAACGTTGTTGTAATGGGGACAGAAAGCGTCGGGAAATCAGGTAAAAAACATGTCTGTAGCGGAGAAATAGTTCTATGTATATGTATATATTTCTGATGCACATGCGTTAAATATTGTTGTTTTCCAGCGATTACTGTGCGCCTGTTAACTCGGAGATTCATCGGAGAGTATGGAGATATTGGTAAGTGTCCGTTTTACTAACATCGATGCAATGTGGCATGTTTAGCGTCATCTATCTTTCCATAAACTGAACTCTTATCTTGCAGAATCCATCTACGGTCACAGTTTTGGGAGGGAATTAACTGTCAATATTTGGGATTCGCCTTATTCTGAGGTGAGGAGAGATCTAATAGCTATCAGACAGTTGTGATCAATGATTTCATATCTTAATAATAATGCTCTATTCTGCTGACAAGCTTTGCTGTTACTGGATGAAGTACTCCTTAAATTCTCAAATTAAGTAAAAGTTAAAGCATTCCAAAGTAAAACACTCTATTCCAAGTACTTTCTTCATTTAACATTTTATGTAAGTAAAAGTTCCATAAAGTGTGCCTTATTAATAAATAGCCCATAGTTCCTTTCATAGTGTTGCATTATTGTTTAACTATACTTTTGGGTAGTTTTATCTAAAATCTCTTGTACTTTAGAAGATCATATGTTTTGTGTGTAAAACCCTAATCTGCAAAGTAACTAATAATTAAAGCTGTAGTGCAGTAAAAATCCAATATTTGTGTCTGACATGTAGAAGTACAAAGTAACATAAAATGTAAAAACTCAAATGAACTACAGGTTTCTTTTCTCTCTTAAGATCAGTTTTTGGGGAGATCTCTTTTGTTGTTTTCCACCATAAACTTAAATGATCTGATTTTGCAGGATTTGTCTGTGGAGACGTCTCTCTTTGAGAAGAAGGTCCAATGGGCAGACGGCTATGTTCTTGTCTACAGCATCTGCGACAGGCCCAGTTTCAACTCCGTCAGCAGGCTCATTCAGACCATCAAGTCCACTAAAGACTACCTCAGCGCAGATAAAGTGCCCATCGTGATCGTGGGGAACAAGAGGGACCTGCACCACAGGCGGACAGTGCCGAGCGAGGAGGGACGCCTGCTGGCTCTCAACACGGACTGCCTCTTCTACGAGGTGTCGGCGGCCGAGAACTACCACAGCGTGCTCCTGGTGTTTCACGGACTGGTGGACAGGATGAAGGACGCCAAGCTGACCTCAAAGAGGCCTCTGGGCTTCAGGGGCATAGTCAAAACCATGTCGGCAGTGTTTGCCAGGAGACGGACAGACTCCTTTTAGTAAGACCACGACAGAAGAGGAGGGCAACTTTCTGTAAATCTTCAAAAGAGAGGTTACACATTGTGTGTATTTGACTGGATGGAGTACAGTTGGTGAGAAATGACCATGTTACTGTGCCAAAGGTAACGGTGACGTCTCCTGAGGCAGAGGCAGGTGTGGAAAGACTCCAGGGGAGAAAAACGCCTTTAGAAACAGATATTTTTTGGGTGACAGGTTTTGAGATTAACTGCATTTCAAACTACAGGAGACTAACGAGATTACAGACTCATTCATTAGACGGATGCTTGACATGTAATATAATGTATGCAATATGTTTAAGCTGTGGATTTAGATTCAAAGAAATTCTATGCACAAATATATGCCTTATTCATGATTATGACCAAAGACTGGAAAAAAAGCTCAAAAGGGAAACTTTTGTGCCACTGGAAAAAAGTGTCCTGCTCAATCATGTAATTAATTCTTAAAGTAAAACATTTGTATTTATTCAGGTCTGTTTTCTATATTTATGAGCTCTCACATTTTTAATTCATTATTTATGAGTTATGAACTGAAATGTATATCGTTTGTTTAAACTTTGTCTTGCGAAGTTTTAAATAAAGCATCAAATGTGATTTTTCGTTTGTTTTCTAAAATCCAAATGCTCATTGATGCCCACAAGGTAATGCTCATACCTTGAGTGATGATAATGGGTACACTTCAGATCAATATGGCTGGATTTTGTAGAAATTCAGAGGTTTGCTCAAGGGACCTTAAGCAGGATGGATGCTAATTGACTGGATGAAGGATGATTTCTTTACTGATTACATCATCCGACAATCCCAAAACTAACGGCACATTGGTTATTGCATCTGCTTTGTCTGTCCTGACTAATGACACATTTCCTAAAGTCCTACGGCTGCAAATATCTGTTAACTGAGATTTAATGTGTTTGCAAATGCAGGTTTAAAAACCTGAGTGCCCGCTGAATAAGAGTATTTGTAACTACAAAATGCATGTCCTGCATAAAATCAAGGTTGGAAGCGACTATTTACTTTGTAACAAGTTGTGATTTATTTTTTTTAAATCACAATTGTTTCCTTTTATTCGAGTAGGCCTATTTATGACAAGTATTGTGCTTTGCTACATTTCAAGTTGCATCAGAGTAAAAACAAAAGCCACATGAAAAAGTCCTGATGAACAGAAGAAAGGAGATTAATCCGCAGCAGCGAAGAAGCTGCTGGTGTGTCTGCAGCAGCAGGAGGGCAAAGAGTGCGGAGGCAACAAGTAACCAATCAGAGGCAGCCTAGGGCAGCTCATGCCTTTGTGGTAAAACTAAGGGACTAGAAAAGAAGTTCCCACTATTAACCATATTTGTTTTACATTTTATGTGAGGTTCACTGATGTTTTTTTTAAATCTAAATATGCATGTTTGTTTTAGTTATTGTTCTCAAAAATAAAAAAAATATTTATAATTGCTAATCAGTTGTATGCAAAAACTGCAGAGTGCCCATCTGTTGGTTTGGACATGATTGTTGCATCGTTTAATGCAACCTATAGTGTTTTCTTTCTGTATTGTCTGCTTCACTAAACAACCTGGAAGTTGAAATGTAAAACTGTCAGAATTTGTAGCTGAACTGCAGAAGAAGATAACAGCTGAAAGACACTGCATTGCTTCTTGAATATAACCCAATACTTTGCTGAATATGTAGACATGTCATTTGTGTAGCTAAAGTAAAGAAATGAACTAAGAAAACAGTTGTAAATGTCTCCACACTTTTGATTTGACTCAAGACTTCTCGAGGTGAAATAGCATGACAGTCGATGGGGCAGTTAAAGGGCTATCTTGGTGCTTTGAAGCAGAGCAGTCAAAAACTGATTTAGGCACTACATCTCAAATGAGACAAAAATGTCAACGTTTTAATGTAAGCTACGTGTGTCCTGACAGCATCTACGCTATTTAATGCACACAGATGCTGTAAAACATCCAAAAACGTACTCTCACAACTCCCTCAGTCCTCCCCAGATCTGAAATTAAGACTTCATCCTCTTTTTCTATGAGGAATTTCTCTCTGACTACTGGATGCCATTTCCCCCATGAAAAATTCCTCTAATTTGTGTCTGGCCTGCTCCAGTAAACTTGAAGTGACCCCCAACATTAGGCGGCAGACACGTCTATTCTTCTTTTAATCCTTTCAACCTCTGTCGTTAAGTGTCAGGAAGATGTCCGTCTGTGTGGCTAAGGCAGCAACATGCGAGGGCAAAGGTATGCTGGTGCCAGCTCCCCCTCTTTTCTGTTCTTGTTTGAGAGGAATCTGACAGGAACAAGGCACGGGTTAACAAAGTAAGACCGGGGCAGTCTGGCCCCTGCAGGTCATTGTCACAGTCTGTGGTCACTTCACAGCACGACCCAGTACTGCAGCCTGACAAAGATGTTTCACCTGCAAGAGCTGCTTTCATGTGTCTCCATGTGCTGCTACGATGACACTATATGCACATAAGACAAACCACTTTTCAGTTTGAGATGAAAATAATTTGTTTCCATTGTTTCCAAATGGGCTGTAACCATTTTAATGAGGAAAAACGCATTTGGAATATTTATGATTACATTAAACTATTTCATTAGCATATTCATTTGCATCTTAATTCACAACCCTGAACTGTTCAATGCCCCCTTTACTGAATGAACCTTTCAGTCAGGGACCTGCTTTAAACGTTGGTGCTTGAAGAAGATCTCTGACCCAAAGCTCACTTTAAAACCGCCTTTTGTTCATCTGCAGAGATAGGTCTGTCTGTTCAGGGGATCAATACATGGAAGTTAAGGATCTTAACTGGCATCGTTTTAAATCTATAAGTTGAAGCAGTTTTGAAGGATGAACAGAGATGATGCTGATCAGGTGTCTTTTACTGATTATTTCTGTTAGATCGTCTTGGTTTATGGGATCTCTATTCTATATTGTTGTCTGCATGAAGAGCTTTTTGTATTTTTTCAATTAAATGCGCTTAGCCACTGTGAATCAGCTAAGGCTGTGAATGTTATGATATGTAGTATTAGTTTATTCAGTGATTATTGTATACTTGTGTATCTGCAAAAACAAATTAAAGTGCAGTTCTTGATTATTACACACATCCTATTATAACACAGACTGGGGGTGATCTGTTGAGTCAGAATTTAGAGACTGTCCAGACCACTGGTGTTCAATACTCAATATTTAATATCCTGTTTCTGAAACAAACTGATGGGACATCATGACATGGCATACGGCCAACCTTTACTCATTTAAAAAATAGAAGTTATGGTCAGCAACAATGTTTACAACCTGCTTTCGAACAGGCCCTGGGGCAAGAAATCAGCCCTCACATCATCACACTGCTCCCACTGTGTCACTATCCGCGGATTCATGTTGTTGATGACAGAGTTTGAACCTGCAGGCAGAGCTGCCACAGAAATCCACAACATGTAACAGAAACGGTGATTTGTCACATGAGGAAATGTTTTTTTACAACTCCGCCATCCAGGTTTGGTGATCACTGCTGGAGACTAAGCTACTGTGGAGCGCCTGGTTCAAAGTGCTAGGACGTGTGATTGTTTTTTAGACTGACGGAGCTGGTGTTTGAGTATGGCCTGTCTGCTATTTTTAACGAATGCGCCATGAATCACTCACATCCAAATGCATTTTCCACCCACAAGCATCCAGCTGGATGTGTTTGTTTATAAAACCATTGTAGTAGATTACAGTTCAGGAGTCTCACTGCATACAGCACCACCACACATTCAAACACTTTCTAAATTGCAACCTTTTACCATTTAGTCAAATAGTAACTAAACCACTGGACCCTGACTGGATGCTTTAAGCCAAAGTCACTTAGAGGAAGAATGAGGTGACTAAACAAGGAAGTACAGTATCCCTGAAACTCTTTAAGGTCTCTCAGAAAATACTTAAGGCTTTAAAAAACAAAATCCAGATCAAACAGTGAGGTCACCAGCTGTCATCCTGAATAGTTTGGATTTTCATTTCTTAATCCGTTTTAACACAAGACACAGTATGTGGATCTTCTGCCCGATGTTTCTGTGCTGAGCTTCCAAAAGGGCGCCATCAAAAGGCAGCTGATGATTTGTTGTGTAGATGTATGTACCAGCTCTGCCTGCAGGTAATAAGAGTGTCTCTGGCGCTGTGGCTTCAAAGAAACCAAACAGACATGAAAGTATACTGTGCAACCAATCTTTATATGTTCACAAGGAATATAAACAGCATTCAGAGAGTAACTTTAGAGAAACCTGACATCTGATGTTAAAGGCAAACATTCCAAAATTCATTTATTTTTTTGAAGAAAATAACAGAAATATAATCTAACACTATATGTCATAGCTTCAGATCACATTTTAGACCTCAACTGAATGCTGTTTCCTGTCTGGCGGGCAGCAAGTTTTTAAGAGACATAACTGATCAATGCAGTAACACAATGTAATTTTCTTTTCCCTTATTAAATAGAAGCAAGCTTTATTTCATTACTGGGTAAGCAACTTAAATAGATATATGGGCTCGGAGGTCAGCAGGTTCAGGGACCTGCACAAAGAATTAGAAATGGTGAGACTTGCAGTATGACAGCACTGTGTTGAACATAAAAATTAACAAACATGAACTCAAATTTCTCGTAAAATGTGATTTTACACAAAGTATAGAATTATATTTATTTAATACGACCATTTAAAGAACGACTTAACAGTTGCATGACACTCCAGTCCATACAGATCTCCATCAATCATCAGTCGGCTGCTCTGTCCTACAATCCTCTACAAAGGCAGTGAACGGTTCCCACAGAAACAATGAAGCGAAGTAAAAAATGGTTAAGTTCATCTAAAACATTATTTTGATAATTGTATCTGTTTATGGGGATCAAATGTTTAAATGTTTAAGTTTTGCCATGTGTCTGTCTGGCCACCTACTATTTGTGCAAGTAATATTCTTATTTAAGTGAATATAATAATTCATAATAATACGTTTTTTATTTGGGGAAATATGTTAACTCCCTTTTTTGAGAGTTCGATGAGGAGGTCAATAGCACTCTCATGTTTGCACCATAACATGACACTGGATCCAGCAGCTGGCTAACTTAGCCTAGCATAAAGTCTGGAAACAGCTAACCTGACTCTCACCAAAGGGAACAAAATCAGACTTGATATTGGGAGTTGTGTGCCGGATTATTTCTTGCCTGTGAGGAGTTACTTGCTGGAGGCTCCACTGGTTACCTGGCAAATAGTCCTACAAGTAATTTATAATTTGAACCCTTCAGTTTCTGTCTGGATTAAGCAAACATGATATAATTCAGTTTACAGACCTAAGAGTTAGTAACTTTTAGCACGAAAGCAAATGAGCATGTTTCTCAAAATGTTGAACTGTTCCTTTAAATTGTAAACCACATGACACGGTCAGGTCTTAAACTTGAACAAATATGTAGTTACTGTGTTTTGGAACTTTGTTTTTGTGCTATTTTATGGCAGTCCACTTATTTTGAAGAGAAAGCTCAGAAGTGTTTCACATGACAAACAGCATCTAATGTCCTCTTTTTTTTATATGAACAACTTAGACTCTTAGCGTGTGGCGCCACAAGCTTCAATTCCCTAATACAGCAT